AGCAGCTCTGCAGGGCTTATAGCATGAATGATGCCACCCATCCTTTTCCATTACCAGATACATACAGTCCTTGCTGCCTCATATTAAACTGTTACACATATACCTGAATGCTAGCATGAAAAGGAGTACTGGCATGGAGAGGTGACATTTGGGCAAGACGACCCAGAGCAGGAAGGGTGCCGGGGCCAGGCCAATGTAGAACAATGCAGTGTGGGATAGTGGGAGGGCTGCCAGGAGCAGAACAGGGGGAAGGCTCCCATATGAACCTGAAAGCAAACAAACTCGCTGCCAAGTAGTGCTACTCCTGCTCCAAGGAGGATCACTTATTGCAGTTTGAATTATTAGCTCATTTGTTGTAGTAAAAGACTGTGTGGACACAAGGTACTGTGAGGAGACCAAACTAAAATTACATCTGTGTTGCAAAAAAAGTCCTGGGAGTGTATTTATATCCCTGCTCTGCTGTGGGACTGTTACACAAAGCACAATATAAATCACTATGTAAAAATCAAAATACCTTTGGTCTCTGCAATGTACCTGACATCAAAGCACAGGTTCAATAAGTTAAGCAGAATTTCTAATCCTTGCTTCTCAAGTAGATCTACTGTAGTATATAATTTACAGTGCTCTTGAATCATAGAATCATAGAATCGTAGAATTGTAGAATGTTAGGGGTTGGAAGGGACCTCTAGAAATCATTTAGTCCAACTCCCCTGCCACAGCAGGATCACCTAGGGCAGACCACATAGGAGTGCATCCAGACTGGTTTTGAAAGTCTCCAGAGAAGGAAACTCCACAACCTCTCTGGGCAGCCTGTGCCAGTGCTCCACTACCCTCACAGTAAAGAAGTTTCTCCTCACGTTGAGGTGGAACTTTCTGGGTTCTAGTATATACCCATTATCCCTTGTCCTATTACTGGGTACCACCAAAAAGAGAATGGCACCTTCTTCTTGACACCCACTCCTCAGATATTTATATACATTAGTAAGATTCCCTTTCATTCTTCTTTTTTCAAGAATAAACAACCCCAGTTCTCTCAGTCCATCTTCATAGGAGAGATGTTCAAGACCCTTAATCACTCGTAGCTCTCTGTTGGACTCTCTCCAGTAGGTCCCTGTCTCTCTTGAATTGGGGAGCCCATAACTGGACACAGTATTCCAGGGGTGGTCTCACCAGGGCAGAGTAGGGGGGGAGGAGAACCTCTCTGGACCTGCTGGACACACTTTTCTTAATGCACCCCAGGATCCCATTGGGCCTCTTGGCCACAAGGGCACATTGCTGTCCCATGGACAACTTGCTGTCCACTAGGACTCCAAGATCTTTCTCCATGGGGCTGCTTTCCCCCTAATCTGTACTGGTGCCTGGTGTTATTCCTCCCCAGATGCAGGACTCTACACTTGTCCTTATTGAACTTCATAAAGATCCCCTTCCCCCAGCTCTCCAGCCTGTCTAGATCCTGTTGGACGGCAGCACAGCCTTCCTGTGCATCAGCCACCGCTCCCGGGTTTTTATCATTTCTAAGGTCTCTTCCAACCTAGGCCATTCTATGATTCTATGATTCTATGATCAGCGCACTTGCTAAGGGTACACTCTATCACCTCATCCAGGTCATTGATGAAGATATTGAACAAAACTGAGTCCAGTTCTCATCCCTGGGAAACAGCACTGGTCACAGGCCTCCAACTTGACTCTGTGCCACTGATCACAACCCTCTGAACTCTATTGCTGAGCCAGTTAACAATCCGCCTTACAGTCCAGTCATCTATCCCACACTTCTTGAGTTTTCCTACAAGGATGTTATGGGAGACAGTATCAAAAGCCTTACTGAAGTCAAAGTATATGACATCCACTGCTTTCTCTTCATCAATGCATTTTGTCACATTTTCATAGTAGGATATCAGATTAGTCAAGCAGGATTTTCCCCTATTAAATTCATGTTGGCTACTCCTGATAACCTTCTTTTCTTACATTTGGTGAGACATGGCCTGCAGAATGAGCTGCTCCATCACCTTATGGGTGATGGAGCAGCTCACTCGTGGAGCAACATTACCATATGGGGCATTTTCTTTGACAAATGAACTTAGCTGGTGCTTTCCCAGCACACAACCAAAGTGCTTACTCAGGTAATCACTGACATAGAATCATTGTTTTAGGAAAACATTCCCTTCTCTATTTTGCTGCACCTTCCCAACTTAACTTAAAGAAAAAAATAAGTTGAATAATTTACTGTAACCTGGACATTTTTTTCTGGATCATCTGAGCAATTTAAAGTAGTTATATGAAACACAAATCTAAACCCCTGCATTATAGGGTAGGGAGTCTTTATAACGGTAAGCAACTTCTGTATGTGTGACCGGGGCTTGAGGCGCCCCAAGCCATGGACTTCCTGGAATCTAGGGCCTCTTTGGTTTTCTTTCAGGCTTGAAAAACACACTGAGGACTCTAGTGCATACACATAAATTTTGTCAGTTAAATATAGATTAATGGGAATCAGTGGGGAGTAAAAATACTCCACTTTTTATGGTAAACACCATAAAACATGGTAAATACTTCAGTTTTATAGCAAAAACTAAATCCTGCCATCCCACCCAGCACTCAGTTCCCTCTTTCTTTAGGCATTTGGCTTGCTTTGCAGCTTAAATTTTATTATTACTAAGCAATACTCTTTCCTCATACTTCCCTAAGCATACACAAAACACTAATTTCATACACTCTCAGTCAAGTCCTACTCAGTGAGTTTTACTAACAAATTCCCAACTAACAGCATTTTGATGTTTCAGGTTGTGTTCTTTGTTACAAAATTTCAGTTTGATTTCTTAATCTTTGCAGAAAACAAAAGGTGGTTTTGGTGGTTTGTTTCTGGTTTTTTTTTCTGTTTTTTTTTTTGTAGGATTACACCAGGTGGTGAGAAAAAGGAACAGAAAAGGATATAAGGCAATTTTCTAGGTAGTCGAACCAGCCCGTGAGTCAAGGTGGCACATGCTTGTAGTAGCTTAACTCCTAACAGTATAAATTGCTCACATCCACACAAAGTTGGACCTTAATACCTGTATCACCTTTGAAAACACCATGAAGGATTTAACAAAAACGCTTTTGGTCACTTAGGCCAAGTTAAAAGACTGTACTTGCAGCTCACCCACTGGGACACAAAAATGCACTGATTCAAACTTCTGTGCAGGTAATATGTGACTTCAGAGGATGAAATGCTTCAAAGATAAACCTCAGCTATGCTAGGAGAAAAGAGAAATGAAGATAACGGAAAAGAACGAGCTATAATAACCAACTGCAAGCACACATGCCCTCTTCTTCAGCACCCATGAAACTTAAAAAGACTTAAAAAAAGAGGAGATTGCTTTCAAAATAGCAAAGACAAACTGATAAACATTTCTTTTTGTCCTTTTATGGGGTGTTGGACTTGTTGCTCTGTTTCTGGTATCAGGAGTGCGGCGTGTATTAACTTTTAGCATGAAGAGAGTTATGTCCCAGGAAAGTCTCTCCTTCCTTTTCCCTTCTACTGTGTAGGCACACATATTAGTCTATCAGTGGTTTGGGTTTGTTTTCCTTAAGCAGCCCTACTGTACTGGTCACTTGGCACTTGAGCCAGCCCAAGGGTGCCAGTGGCGTTGTGACAGCAGCGTGTGTTGCCTGGGCTGCGCTTCATCCTATCCCACGGCTGCGAACAAGGATCTGTCCTAGCTGTGAGCAGCTGTGTGGCTGTACAAAACAATGATCCCACTTAAAATAAGTGAAGAAATCTTAGGTTTTGCCCTTTTGCGACCAGCACAGCTTTCAGCTATAAATAGCTTTGTAGCTGCTACAAGTCCCTGAAGTGAGGGCATAGTTTGACTGTCTTCCCTCGGAACACAATGCCAAATTACACATCCACGGCCTTCCTAAGGCTTGTTTCCCTCTCAGAGTGATACTAAAGCTTTTTTCTTTTAGCTGGACTGGATCTCAAGCCCAAATCACGGTGCAACCCCAACATCATCCTGGGAGCAGTCAAGAGGCACCATGGTCAAGAGCTGCTTGAGGAATGCCAAGGGTGCCGCAGCAGTTCTAAAGATGTGCAAGGAAAACCTGCTTTGCTGCCTGATACGTACCTACTTAAAGAATTTAATGGAGGTAGAAGGAGAAATCTGCTGCAACCTAGAATGAGTTTCAAAGGCACAGATGACTCCTGAATTTCGCAAACTTTTAGTCATGTCAGAAGAGCTGCATTGACTTCAAATCCTGAGTTGCACTGGGTGTAACTTGCTTCCCTCCTTGCAAAAAAGGATAGTGCTGTGTACTTCATAACTTTCAGCCACCAGCATCTCTCTAGGCAAGACATGAGCCTTGCATAAATTCAGAGCTCACCAATTGTTATGGCTTTATCAACAACCTTATTAGCAATCATTAAAAATAATCTTGCTTAGAAGGGGACTGCTACATGCAAAGCCCATCTTTCCTATTTACTTTGTGACTATTAATGTTTTTTTTTAATGTTTATACATTAGTGCAAGGAATAGTGTTAGCATAATTCTCGTGTAAAAGAAAACCAGCTGTATCCATTATAAGTGCATTACTGCCAGGAACTGTAAATATGTTTATGCCTGATAGCCTTTTGACTCAATAATATCCTGCTATCTCTGTTGGGCAGGCAAGTTTTTAAACCAAGAAAAGACAGGTTATGATTTTCATAACCAAACTGTGTTTCTTTTTGAAGTATGTTATCTAAATTCAAATTTGAAGAAGGTCATTAAAAAAATCTGCCTGTGATTTTAAAGGAGAACAATTGAAATGTCATCTTCAAAGTGGTGGCAAGAAGGTACAATGTGCACTCAGAACAAGTTCCTCCTCCCAGATATACACATACGCAGACAAACCCTGCCATATCATACCATACAAACAATTTTAATTGTGTAGTTACAGTCAATAACCACTCCTAGTCAGAACATTTCTGCATAAAGAAAATTGTGATACACTTATAAAAACAGCCAGCTGTAACAAAATAACTGGTGTTTTCATAGCAATAAACTCATAAAAAAGAAATACACCTTTATACAGAAAATTTATACAGCTGTAGCTTTAAAATTGATTGTAAACCAAAGGAAGACACATTGCAAACATCAATTATTTTCACATTAATTGCATAAGTTTCTAAGGTGATCTATTAGTTTTATTTACCTAAGCTTATTTGCATGATAGTAAAAATTGCATACAACAATAAGAGTGAAGCTTATAGTATGAATTGCTTGGATAACATAGAGCACTTTTTATAGGCAACTGTGTAAAGCACATTTTCTCTATTTAAAACTTTTAAGACACTTTGTTTTACTGCCCATCAAAATACATTTATAAATAGAAAAAAAAAATCAGTATGATAACAAGAGAAGCAATATTACATTTAACGGAAACTTCCAAAAAAATTAATTACAACATGATGCTGCAGGATCTACAAATAAATAATGAGGACTAAATTGTGTTTCACATTTTCTTTTTCATTTGCTTTAAAACCATGTAACAATGAGAATGGAAAAAAAAAATACAGTGACCTTTATTTCCAAAAGAAAACAAATCTGAATTACGGCAGTGCCATATAATACAAGGCATTTGTTGGCATATGTTATCTTTAAACTGCATTCCACAGTCTATAGTTCTTTTGTAACATACAATAGAACAAGAGTAACAAACTCTTTTTATTTTATTTTTTTAAATAAATGTGAGTTTCCAAAGATCAAGTGTGGAGTGCTACAGTAATAATTAAAAAAACAAGAACGAAACAGAAACGAAAAACAGTAAATCACAAAAGTTGTAATGCTTGTCTGAAGGCTCCAGAATCAAAATCACTGGTATCATGCTTATTGGGTACACTCACAGTGTATCCAGTGAACACAAATTAATATCAAACAATCCTCAACGCTTCATCTGTTGCTGCGAAGCAGTTTGTAAAACAGAGTAAAACATCTAGTGCAGTCTGCATTATCCTTTTTTCAACTTTTGTGCAAGTTTTGGAAGATTCATTGGCCAAACAATGAATAATAAAGGTTTTTGACAGAACACAAGATGGAATTTTCATTTCATTAGTAAATACCAGTGGCACTGTTGAAAGAAAATAATACTTTTAGATCAGTCTTTCAATTCAGCATTAATCTCTGTGTTCCCTTCTACCGATAACTCTTCTTCTAGTTTAACTGAAAAAAGAGTGTTTGCATTTTTGTCTTGGATGCTGTCTTCTAAATCCTTGAGCAACTCTTCTTCCTTGTACTCTGCAACATCCACCTCCAAACCTGAATTGTCCTTCAGCTTCCCATGGTGCTTGAGATAGTATCGCTGGTTCTGAAAGAACTTGATAATGGTGTACTTGGGCAGGTCAAGCTGAGCGGAGAGAGTCTGGATTGCTTCTTCGTCTGGATACAGGCCTACGTCTTGTATGAAACTCTGTAGGATCCCTAGGGCTTCAACAGAAATCTTTGTTCGCGGTCGAGGTTTCTGACGATTTTCATCCTCAGATTCAGCTGGTGATGCTACTGTCGGTTGCCTTGGGGGTAGTCTGGGACCTGGTTGTTGTTGCTGTTGCTGCTGTTGTTGTTGCTGTTGCTGCTGCTGCTGCTGCAAGACAAAGCACAGCATTTTTTTTTTTTGTACATATATTCGTGCTCATATTTTGTGTCACCAAGAAAATCCGAGCCGGAGGGAGGGGAAATTGCAAGGCTATAAACAAAGGCTTAGTAAGTTAAAAGAGCAAAAAGGGGGAAAAAAAAAAAAAACAGAAAAAAGAAGACATTTAAAAATTGCCCCATACTGCTGA